ATGGACGGTATAGATAATATGTTGTAAAATGCACTATTTTTTAGACTTAAAATCTTTTTATTTTTCATAGTCCTACATCTCGATATCGAGATGATCAATCAAAGGATTTTCAACATTAAAACTACCTTTTCGATAGATTTTTTAGGTGCACCCATAGTTCTACATTATAAGATTACAACCTTAAATAAATTTTTTCCTTTTAAATATATCCAAAAAAAGAATATATTTACATTACCTACTCATATAATATTGTTGCTCAACCTAAGTGGACCTTTTGATTAAGGGGTGGGAAACTTGGGGTTTTTGAGAGGGAGGCTTGCAAGGAAAACGCCACCACGATGACCACATGAGATGGTGTGTGGTTTGGGTTTGAAGATGAATGATTGCTTTTGCTTTGCTTTGAAGAGTAGGGAGTCATGGGGCTGGTGGTGGTGGTTCCTCTCTCTCTCTTCCCTTTCTCTCTCCTCTCTCTCTATTATCTATCTCTCTTTTTTTCTCTCTCTTCGCTCTCCTTTTTATCTCTCCTCTCTCTTACCTTTTTTCCTTTTCTTTCTCTTCTCTTTCTCTCTCCTCTCTCTTCCCTTTATCTCTCTTCTCTTTCTCTCTCCTCTATCTCTCTCTAATCTTTCTCTCTCTCTAAGTTTCCATTATTAAACAGAACATCATTAGACGCCAAACGTTTCTAAGTTGTACCTAAAACTGTTATCATGCTTTCTTATCAAACCAACAATCTCTCAACCTCTCCCCTTCAATGTTGTACCCTTTACTATGTCCACATCCAAACTCCAACACAATAATGCAAAGAGAAAATGGACGGCCTAGATCTGTTGTTAGATGTTTTGACCCCAGTTTCTTTTGTCGTGAACGTTGGATTGATAGTTTTTCATGTGAAATAAACTCTCTAACGAACTGCTGCTTGACTTGGGACGTTGGAGCATAATGGTCACTTTCATGGGTGGTCCATTTATTTTATTTTATTTTTGCCTACTCTCGCTGCGCTATAGGTTGTTAGTAAATGGGGGAAATCGGCCCAACTGAAAAATATGGCCTGAATATATTTTTTATTTCAAAAGATTGTAAAAGTACGGACCACTAAAAATTGGATGCACTTAAAATCATGAACGATTCGGATCAAATAAACAAAGCGAAGAAATGGGACACGCAATGTTAGAAAAATTAGTGATCCATATCGGAATCGGTTGATCTCGGTCCAGATTGAGAATCAGTAAAGTCAATCCATATCCCATAAAATATCGAGATTCTGCTGGTTCCTCCCATGAAATGGCCATTCCGGTTGATACCCATCAAAATCACCCCACCTTTTTTTAAATTTCTTTTTATTTTTTTAATGATCGCAACCGGCTGGTCTTGACTGATTCCATGCAAAACTGGCCCCACTTAGTTTTTTTTATTTTTTACTTTTAATTTAAATTTTGTGATACCAATCTGCATCTTCAATCCACCGAACCGTATAAGATATCCAGAGAGGCGATCCGAATCACCGATCCGTTTATTTTAAAACCTTTGATATATGTATAGATGATAAAATTATAATTCACTATCATGGCATGGATACAATAAAATTAATTGGTCAGTATTTTGTCTCAAAAGTACATGAAACGTACTGGACGCTGTTTAAAAGGTTTTCTTGAGAAAAGGTAAAATGGGAATTTATATCGTTTTCATAAGCGGTATAAAATTTTATGTTCTTTGAATGGCTAATTTTAATAAATTTCAGAAAATCAGAACTTTCTATAAAAATTTATGTTTTAATCATTCTTGCGCATGTCCTATTCTTTTGGACTTTAGGTTTATTTTCATTTGAATCTCCATGTCTTATCGTCTCAGTCCCTCCATTTGTTTGGCGTTGTTTCATTTTATGGTATGAGAAAAGCCTCGGAGAAATTTGTTGCATTATCAATACGAGAATATCGCTTTGCATTTTAAATCGAGTCCTTCATATTTTTCTTTAAAAACGAATCGAGTCCTTTATTTTACCGGTCACTTGAACACTCTTTTGTTTGTCCGAGTTCAGTTTAGTTACCGAACTTAGGCAACAAAAAATAAGTAGCCATTTATGTACGGACACAAAATAAATAAATAACATGCGTGATGGGTCAATTTTAGTAAAAAATTACGATAAAAGTCATTTACGGTAGTTTTAAATTTTTCCATAATGCCCCTCTATCCGGGAATGTTTTTCTTTTTAGTTTTTTCTCAATTGTCTTGCCCTGCCATATGTTTTAGGGTAGTGGGCTACCGGTCTGAGGTCCTCATCCGCAGACCACCCAGATTGTGGAGATACACCACATTATAAGCGGTCTGAGGATGAAGATATTGGACCGCTTCAATCCAATTAGTGTTCTGAGGTCTCCATCTTCGGACTGCCCACACCATAGTGTTCAACCAC